CTCTGCTCTTTAGATTATTGGCTCTCTGAACATTTTAAGTGACAAAAAACATCCTAATACTATGACCCTGGTAATCCTGATTGTTTTGAGCTTTGCAACTGGGCCTAAAGATGAAAATGCTTTCCTTTTTTCCCCATTTTTCCCTTTGTCCACCCAAGCGATGATTCCGTGGAAAGCTCTGGGTGCTGTGTCCACCAGCAGTGCCCTATGCTGCTCTGTCTTGTTCCTGCAGCTTCAGCACAGCTCTGCCTGTATCAACAGTCTCCTCCTGCACCTGTGCTGCCTCCTGGGCCGAGGACGTGCAGTGAATGGTGAGGCCACTTGCTAAACCTCAGACACGCTGCCTGTCTTCAGACTCCCAAGCTGGAGGCACTAATGTGACCAAGCCTCTCGCATCCTTGATTCAGCCTGATGGCCTCCCTGTCTCCATTTTCCCAGTCACAGATGAATGGGAGATTTTCGAATCATTTTATTGTCCAACCACAGCTTCGTGGATTCTCTTTTAGGAAGGGACTGTTAGATCATTTCAGCTGAAATGCTTTTGTTTGGTCATGAATTGATCATATTTTCAAGAGATCAGAAGCCTTTTTTTTTTTCCCTAAAGGAAAGGAGTGTGTTCCACCAACAACTGAGGGTTTAATGCTTAGAGACTTTTTAGACACGTTCTGCCAATGCCTAAAAAGAACTGCAGATAGTACAGTGTGTAGCGGCGAAGTGATCGGAAGTGAAACTAGGGGGTGTGTGAGGCAGGGGGAAGGTGCACATCCCCTGTGAAACATTCAGCATCAGTGTGAGACAGTGAGGCTCAATTCTGCTCAGGAATCCCTTTGAAATGCCTCTTAGAATATGGGACCTAGTGTTAGGGGGACTAACTGTCTCAGTTTGCCGGGGACTGGGGGTTTCTTGGAATGTAGGCATTTCAAGGCTAAAACCACAACACTGCTGGACAGACTGGGTAATTGGTCATCTAGAGTTGGCACGTAATCATGCATATAAGCTTTGCCTTGAAGTAGTTAAACTAAGGTTTTTTTATTTTTAAATGCTGACTAGTTACATCAAATGATGCCACCTACAAAAATCATAAGGAAGTGTATTCCCTGCCCCCTCCTGCATCCTGTAAGTTTGCAGTTTTCAGTGGGAAAAAATAGCAGTACTTATCATTTTATTTTTTTATAAGCAAAGCAGGACTTCAAACTATTTGAAGGATGACCTCTTTTTCAGAAATTAGAGGCACTGCATTTATTGCCAGCCAGTCATGGCTGTCCATCTGCTAATTCTCTTCATGTGGAGGGAGCAGCTGTCGTTTCAGAAATGCTACAGCAGATAACAAGATGCGGTGCATTTTCTCTTCCAATGCTTAAAACAAATCCCTGGGAAGAGTAGCAGCAGTTCCTTCGACTGCATGCATCTCTGATATTATTTACACAAAATGGCAAATGGATTTGGGGATTGGAAGCAAATGAATTTGCTTTAAAAGGAAAAGCACTCGAGGTAGGTGTAGTGCCCATTATAGTAATCTGTAATTCCAAAGACAGAGGGACTGGCGGAATGCATAGGCGCACACTCTGAAAACACTGGCCACGCATTGGGCCCGGAATGCAAGCACAAACATCTGAGATTCCCCAGGCCACACGGCCTCTGTGCCAGAGGGCTGCAGACCAAACACGGTTCACCACAGACTAACGGCTCCCCTAGGTCTCACATCTGCCCAGCTTCTCTCCAGATTCAAGTACTTAGGTTATCTTAGATCCCATCCTTCCCTTTGCACTGTTTAACAGCCCAAAATCCAATCAACAATTTATATTGGTTTATTCCTTTGCAGTGTTTCAGACGATTTGTTTTCCTGCTCTGTGGTCCCATTGCTCCACCCTTTCCTGTCCTCAAGTCAAGTGGTACTTAAAACTGACCACGGACTCTTGTCTGGGTCCCTAGTCAGGATTCTTCTCCCTTTCAATCAGCCTGCACATAGCTCCATGATTACTCCTCATGGGGAGAATAATTAGGGTGAAGTAAGGAACCAGTGATCATAGTCCAGGCGGTGCTCTGTGTCTGTGAGAATTATTCCTGTGGAAGGGGGTGTAGACACAGATACTGCTGGGATGCACATGTGATGTAGGTGTGGATGTGACATGGGCATGGACACAGGCAGAAGTAGGGCATTGCAGGTATTTCTGCATGGAGAGATCTGAAGGGTCCTTTCCTTTCATCTCCACAGTGATCCTGGAAGGCAGGTGAAGCAAACCTCTGTTTTTTCACCTATGAGAATATTGACTTTCAAAGAGTCCCCACAGCCCTGGCCGGGAGCTCAGTTGGTTGAAGCATCATCCAAGAGGTTGTGGGTTTGATCCCTGGTCAGGCATCTACAGGAAGCATGTTGATGTTTCTCTGTCTCTGTCTCTCTCTTCCCCTTCCTCTCTTCCCAAAATCAATAACACAGCATACAGCGAGGATTAAAAAAAAAAAAAAGAGTCCCCACATCCCATGCCTAATGACAGAACTTTAGATCCTTTTCACCAAAACTTGAGCTTATTCTGATTGTAGCACAAACTTCTGTTTTAATTCTGGGGCCTTGTGACCCAGGGTGGTATTTCTGCTGTGCAGGCACCGCCCTGACCTTGTTTCCAGGGAGCTCAGGGGGAGAGGAGGCGGGCATGCGGAGCTGCCCAGCCGGGACACACGCAAAGCCCGAATTCTTGTCAGCACCTGCACGTGCTTTTAAGGGGCCTCAAAGGATTTCATCACTTTTGATGTTACAAAGAAAAAACACGTCCCCAGTGTTGGTGCAAATCCAGGTCAAGGCAAGGGGAAACAGAGCATTTTAAAGAGAGTGGGGAGGCGCACAGAGGCCGTGCCTGAGAGTACTTGGATTTGAGAAGAGAGATTGCTGACACACAGCAGTCACGCTCAGGCGCGAGTCTGGGGCGCCTGTGTCTTCCTGCGCCTGTCTACATTCAAGGTCTGTGTCAAGTTTTGCGCAATCCTCCATCGCCTGGCAGACCAAATACACCCTGTTTCTAGGTGTCACTGATGATAAAACGAGGAAGAGGGGCGTAAAGCAAGGGAAGAACAGGGGAAAAAAGAGAGGAAGATGCACAAAGCCCTACCATTTTCTCAAGTCAAAATATTTTAACGGTGTCATCGTCCTCCATGATTAATCTAAAGATTTTTCCATTTATAGAGCTGACAAGCAGCAGGAAACTAATATTTAAAGATAATTCCAGAAACATGAAGATGAAAAAGGTGGTAAAAGGAGGAGGAAGATGAACTTTTTTTTCTTCCACTTCTAAGATTTATTGAAAAGCATATTAGAAAAACAGGAAATGTATCTGATTCTACATATAAATGCTAATGCAATTATTTATTCCAGACTGTTTACAAAATACCAGCCCCAACACATTCAGTGTGCAAGGGTTTTCATGGTAACAAAGAACTGCTCCTGTCTCCAGGAAGCTCATGGCTGAACAGGGAAGACAAGAGTTGCAAAAATAGCCCTGGCTGCTGTGGCTCAGTGAATTGAGTGCCGGCCTGCAAACCAAAGGGTTGCTGGTTCGATTCCCAGTCAGGGCACATGCCTGGGTTGCAGGCCAGGTCTCTGGTAGCGGGTGTGCAAGAGGCAACTGATTGGTGTATCTCTCACACATCCATGTTTGCCTCCCTCTCCTTCTCCCTCCCTTCCCCTTTCTAAATAAATAAAATATTAAAAAAAGAAGAGTTCTTGCAAAGATGAATGGGTGGATGGATGGACGGATGGATGGATGGATGGATGATAAAAAGACATCTAGATAGGAAGGTAAGCCCATTCACAGTTGTTTTATAAGAACTCTGAGGGAACCTCTGGATGCTTTTGGAGCATTCGGAGCCAAATGCGATGGCCTGGGGTCAGGGAAAGTCTCTCTGCAGAGCTGACGAGGTGGGAATGGATGGAGCCTAGGAGAGTCCTGAGGTAGCCGACGCAGTTGCTCAAAGAGAACTCTGAGCAATGTGCAGGGCTGGATTGTGGACAGACTAGGTGGCAGGAAGTGGGGCGGGACTAGAAGACGCGGAGGCTCCACGGCTTTCCCCAGTCTGCAGCACCCTGCTCACCCGCCCTAGTGAGGCAAGGACATCTTAGCAGGACTGTCAGGAGCCTGCCCCAGCATGGGCTGTACGGGTGGACCTGGTGATACGGGCTCTTGGGGCGACCTTCCCTGTGGCTCAGCACCTCCATTTCCTTCCCTCCAAATTGCAGCTCGTGCCACCACTGGTCAGCCCTGTCACCTCTGTGAAATAACTTGCTGCTTTTGATGATGAGCGTCTCTGTTTCCCAAATGAGGGAATGGATGATTTTTTAGCTTATTTCTAGCACTAATAATCCATGAGATTCTGGTTCTCTGGGTAAATGTCAGCCTTTCTCAGTCCTCTGTGAGGACGAGGGGAAGCAGAGTGATAGGAGAAAGAGCCTTCTACCTTTTAGAGGCAAGCAGACCTGGAGATAAACCTTAGCTCTTAGTGATATGATCTGGGGCCTTCCAGTCTGTTTTTTAAGCTTCAGTCTCTTCATGGGGTGCAGGAATACCTACCTGGAAGAGTTATAGGGCTAGCTGGAAATATCCTGTCTCACCCACCCAGCATAATAGATTGAGCTGTGTATGTGGAATTGAAGGTTCCAGAGTCTAGATACATTTACAAAACACGTTTTCTGTGCATCTACAGAATGAGGAACTACATTTTCCAAACCTCATCTCAACACTTTGGTAGCCCAGCCCAAGTTAAATAAGGTTTCCCATTCTTTGGGGGGCTACGAGAATAAGCACACCTCTATGGAAATTTAGAGGACAAATCTGCAGCTTTCAGGACACCTGCAGTTGAAGCCACCTGGGCAGATGTCAGAGGGAAGTTGGCTTTGTTGGTTTAAGTGGGTGTCTTGTTGATACTAATTTTCCCAAGTTATTCTCTTGGGAATAACTGAGTGTGAGTGCTTAATAAGTGAGTGCTTATTTGCTTGTCCTTTGTCCCTGTAGTCACAGGTGCTCGTTGCGAGGGGAGGACTTGAACAGACAGTGGCTGGCTCCCAGCGCTCAGCTCCAGCCCACCATTTACCACACCAAAGGCCTCCTCTACTACCTGAACAGCATCGGCCACAGTCCTGCGGTGAGTCACTTCCTTCTGCCTCCACATTCTTGGCTGGTTCCTTCCACCTTCCAGGAGGCAGAGTACTTTTGTTAGGGCCAGAAAACCAGATGTAAGCCAAAGACCTGTGTGTGACCAGCTCTGATGGGGGCTGGAGTCATGTCTTAGGGCTGCCGTAAAACAGCGCCCTAAGGAGTGAGGGGGGCTTCAAAGAACAGAAATGTATTTTCTCACATTTCTGAAGGCTTGGAGTCTGAAATGAAGGTGTCAGCAGGCCATGATCTCTCTGAAGGCTCCAGAGAAGAACGCTTTATTATCTCTTCCCCCTGTGTGTGTCTGTGTGCAAATGTCACTCTTTTTGGAAGGACAGAAGTCACTGGGCTTGTGCCCACTCTAATTCAGGATGGTCCCATCTTGATTCGATGACACGCACAAAGACTATTTCCAAGTAAGGCCCCTTTCACAGGCACTGGGAATTAGAGCTTCATCAGTTTTTCGGGGTAGGGACACAATGTAACCCACAGCAATGTCAGCCCATTGATTCAAGTCTCGTCAGTGAGGCTTCCGGTCTAGAGGGCGGAATAGGTAAATGCTGCGCTTGCCTCACCCCACACCCACATCACAATCACAACTCAACCACAGAGCACCCAGCACGGAGAACCTCCTGAGGTCTAGCTGAACAGACGTCTTCTAACTAGGAATTTATAGAAGACAAACATCAGGACTGACAGGAGGGGCAGAGACACTGAACAGGCTGGTCCCACACCCACATGTGTTGACTTAAAAATCAGGAGGGATGTCTTACTAAATTCTGAACATGGTTCTGGCAATGTCCCAGGCATATTTCATGTATTCGTTTTTCACCCAAGCCTATAGCAACTGTGCAGTGGATGAAGAACAGAGTATCTGAAACCAGAGGCTTAGGTTCAAGATAAGAGGGGAGGCAATGGTAGCCAAATGATGGTATTGAAACAATCATGTATTGACTACAGACTGTGCATATCTGTCTGCAAAATTGTGGAGGCTCCTAGGCCCAAAGTTTGAGTGCAAAGGAATTTGAAGTAACATGGAGGAGCTCACAGGTGAGCCAACTCAGTCACCACTACCACTATCCACCTTCTTTTGATCCTATGTAACGTGGCCTGTTCAGTGAGTATCTACTGAAACACTGGATCAATATTTAATATAGGATGTTATTTAAACCTCAAAATGATTCTGCGGTCAAGTGATTTCCCTGGAGTTGGGAGTCAGTGCTGACCAGTTTTTCTCTCCTACAACCTGTCTTCCTCTAGCGCTACTCTTCGGTGAGATGTGTTGGGAGTCCCCAAGACTCTCCTCAGGTCCAGGGACTCCCCAGAAAAGAGTCACAGAACTCAGAATAGCACTTACACTCCCAGTTGCTATTTATTACAGTGACAGGGTGCAAATTAAAGTCATCAGAGGAATCTGGGTCTCCAGGTGTTTGCCCCCAGTGTGTTGTGTAGACAGTGCTTAGCTCTCTGCAGTGATGTGTGATGCTGTGTGATGCCATGTGGAGACATGTACAGTGGGGCCGGCCTGGAAAGCCTGCTTAGAGGAGCATCGGTATCCAGGATTTTTATTGGGGGTGAGTTTGTAGACACCCCACATGGCTCATCTTGTTTACTCAGGCTCCAGGCCCTTCAGGGGTTAGATGGACACTTTGTGGCCCAAGAGCTCCACCATAAATCACAGGTCAATGTCAAATGTGTGTCATGGTTCAAGGCCCCAGGTAAAGACACTGTCATCCAGCGGATTACTTGAAGGATGTCAAGGTCCTCTCCTGGGGACCAGACCTGTCTTTGGAATTCACAGGATTTGAACACTTCAGACTTGTCCAGTCAGCTGTGCATTGTACAGAGAGCAAAGCACATCCTTTTCCCTGAAGAATCCTCATTCTACACTTGGTCAGATCACGCAACCCCTCACCCTCCCATCCAAGAGGTACTGTAGGCCATGCTGTCTCCCCTCCAGAAGCAAGTTCATGGAGCCCCATGTCCCACCGTCATGGCCTGGAGAGTGTGTCCTCTGTGAGGAGGAAGCCTTAGCCCCTGGGAGAAGAGAGAGATTCATGGGGAAAGAGGTCCCCACTGGGCACACATTTAAACACACACACTCAGCTCATCACGAACAGGATTCTTCTCTGCTCTGACAACCTTTCATTGAAGAGCAGAACATTTATTTTAAAGTGTGACAGGTGAAACCCTTGTTAAAAATAAAATAAACATGAATTAAGTATAAACATGACAGCCACAGACTTGTTTCCTGCTGGGACCATCTGAGAGGTGGGCAAGAAACAGCTGAGCACTAAATGCTGTTCACAGCGTTACAGATTTTCTGATAGGCTCAGCGTTGCCTTTCCGTTAACCACGAGGCTGTGCTTAACCAGCTGCCTGCTGACGGCAGAGCCCTGCCACTCATTCTGTACTCAGGCCTGTTCTGTTCTGGGAAGGTTTCTGCTGTGCCAGAATTGACCCTTGGGCTACACGGTTGCAAGTGAACTATGATTCTGCACAGCCTCTGATTCTTAGGAAAATATCTCCTGGAGCAGTAGGAAGCCACTTCCAGTAGCTTGGAGGTTCCACCTGTTCAAGGTGGGACTCAGGCATTTGTCTGTTTGTGGATAGAATGATACAAACTCCAGGGCCAATGGGAGTGAGACAGGGTTGACAAAGACCAGACAATAAGCAGTACAGCAATATTGACGTAGTCTTTCCTTCATCCATCCAACTGACCATTCATCCACCCATCTGTCCATCCACACATCCATCCATCCCTCTGTCCATCCATACATTCATCCATCCATCTATCCACTTACCCTCTGGACAGGCATCCATCTGTCCACTTATTTACAGCATGTGTGTATAATCATTCTGCTAGGTTCTGGGGATGCAGATAGAGTTTTTAATTTTAAACAGCTTGTCCTTTTGTTCAAGGAGTCCATAGTTTATTCTGGTAAGAAAGTGGAGTTGTATCTGCAAAGAAACCAATGAGTGCACATGTTAAAAACTGTAAAAAAGACTCATATGGCTTGTTGAGTCATTTTCCCTGAAGCTTATGGAAAATCTGGAGACTGAAGGTGCCATTTGAGCTGGACTTGGAGGATGGATAAGAGTTCTGCTTGGCTTTTGTTATAGGAAGGCTGAGAATTATACTTTGCTCAGAGGGTCTACAGGCCTGGCAGGAATCTTTTGATCTTCTGCCTGTGAAACTGGAGTTCTGGCAAGTTTTGTATGCTCGGGGTCACTAGATAAGATAAACAAAAGGGAGTTTTTCATTAGCTGGTGGGAGAGACTCATCTGATATCACACTGACCCCCATGGTCCTTTTCCTGTTCTCTTTGAACTCCAACTTTGTTTCTTTTGTTTGTGAGTGGCTCAGGAAACCTACTCCAGATGTTGAATCCAAAAGCCCAGACACATGGTCAATATTGATATATTTGTACATTGGAACCCTAGCAAACAATAAAAATTAAAATGACACCACCAACAGAAAAGCGTCAATATACTCATCAGTGTGGATGGGTTTCAGAAACATGTTGAGTGAGGTGTGCTAGACACTAAAGAGGACAAAGTCCACGTGTGAAGTTCAAGATCAGGAAATCTGTGAAGATATAAATTCAGGACAGTGTTTGCCTCTAGAAGAGAGTAAGTAATTGGGGCCGAGGGGGAGCTTTCCAGGTCAGTGGAAATGTCGTTCTGTATTTTGATTAAAGAGCCAGTTACACCAAAACTCATTGATCTGTGCATGCAAGATCTGTGCATTTCACCAAAGGTGCACATGTACCTAAATGTGGAGAATTAAATATCAATAAATTAAAGCATAGTCATTGAGCTTTGAAATGTAACTAGGAGACAGAGGGGGGTGTTCCGAGTGAGATGGATCTCATAGAGACTTGCAGTTTAGGCCAAAGGAGACATCTTTTGTAGAAGAGACTGGAAAGACTGCCAAATAAGATCTATCTGGGTCTAGCCAGAGAAAAGCCATGCAAGCAGAGAAGCTCAGAGAAGCAGACAGGCTCAATGATTAGCTAGTAAGAGGCATTGAATAAGCTGCACTTGGTGGGCAAGGAGGGCCAGGAGGCAGGCAGCAGGAGGACCCGTCAGGCATAGCCTGGGAAACTGGAAGGAAGCTCTAAGGCTCCCGGGAAGCAGGGCCAACAGCCTTTTTCTGAGCTGCTATGTTGCAGCTGACCTTGGCCTCTTTGCCACTGCAAAGCATCTGGGCTTCGGAATCAGGACAGGCATGGGTCCCCATCTTCTTGGCCCTCACTCTGTGAGAGTGAGCTGGGAAAGAAAAGCTCTTTGAAGAGCTCATTGATTTCTGTTTCCAAGTCACCCAAACTGGGCCACTTTCTGCCAAGGCACAGGGTGGGAAGATTTTGGTTTTGTCTTTCTCTGGGGCCAAATGAAACAGAATTTTAAGCTACTTAAATGATTTCCCTGGTTTTATTTTGTCCCTCTGGCAAAGTTTTAGTTAATCAACTTCTCTTCAAAGAGGTACAAATGGAGGGGGCACAGTGGATGACATGTCTCTTCCTGAAGCCTAACCTCCAAAGTTTTCATACACAGCATTTATTTTAGCTGTGTCTATTTTTCTTTTCTCTCTTTTTAAAATCTTCACCCAAGGACGTGTTCATTGGTTTCAAAGAGGGAGGAATGGAGAGCAGATGAGAGAGAGAGACGGACAGAGAGACATTGATGTGAGAGAAAACCGTCAAGATGACTCCCATATGTTCCCTGACTGGGAATCAAACCTGCGTCCTAGGCATGTGCCCTGACTGAGAGTCAAGCCCACAGTCCTCTGGAGTAGGGGACAGTACTCCAACCAGCTGAGCCCCCCAGCCAGGGCTACATGGGTACTTTCGATGCAATTGAAATATGTTGGGAAGGAGGGCGTCTTATAATGCATAACACCAGGAGGGCAGAAAACCTTCTCTAGTATTTCCTAACATAATAGAAGTTCCCACTGTGGTTAGTCACGCATTAAACTGCGCTGAGTTT